CTTGGATGAATTGAGACGGTATTTTGGAATCTCCCTAATATGGGAGAGCTCGAAAAGGACTGCTAAGGATAGGTGTCTCTAAATAGAAGTCCTTTTAGATTGACTGAACGCAGAAAGCTTCGAATAATAAGATTGACTAAGACTAGTAGCGCTGAAGTGTGCCAAGCGCTTCTCTTTATGTACCAATGCAAACAAACCGGTATTCAATCAATGCACACAAATAGGCTTGCCCCTAGTAAATAGAGCCTTTTTTGAGGTCCAACACTCCTATGACGGGCTAGGTTTCAACACCATTCACTTGTAAGGCCCCCTCTATTACCGACAGCGGAAATGCCATGAACAGCGGGTAGGCAGGTTATTCTCGATGCAGTGGGAAGAGTAAGAGCGGTAAGGCTTATTACCAACACTGGGTATTCAATAGCCAGGGATAGGGATGAAAGACCAGCCTATTCCCCCAAAAGCAAGAGCGGATACGAGTACTCAAGCAGCGGCAGCACTCACAGCTGATTCACTTGTGCTATCCCCTTCCCCTGCAATTGGCTATTTGGATTCTAAAGCGCATTAAAAGCTGCTTAAACAAAGCGTAAACGCACAATCAACGGAAGGCTTTCTTGAAACCACCTTTACTTCGTTCACTCCTGACCTGACAGAAGCTATGAGACCATCCATAGGGTAGGGGTGACTAAGCCCGCGAATCGAATGGTTAAAAAGCCGACTCTGTATACTGACTGCACTGCTCCCTCTTGACAGTTTGCTTCTGTTAGAGCTATTGTGTCACTGTCATTCCATACTTTCTCTGTCGATACCGAACACGGTAACTAACCTATTGACTAACGGTGTTTACAGAGTGGCTCCGAGTGACAACTAGACTTGCACACTCCTTACTTCTGCTATAAGCTATAAAACAAATAGGGCAGGGAGCTTGTGACTAAGCCGCTGGGGAGACTAATACGAACCCGAATCCGGGAAAGGATCCGTAGACAGCACTGTGGATGGAGTACCGCTCACTGCACGGCTAAGGGAACTCTGTCTTGTATGCTAAGAGAAAGTCTTCGGTACAACTCTTCTTTCCTCCGTTCACTCCTCTCCTAACGCAGGCAAGGCAACAAGAAAGCTCTTAGCGCTTCAGTCTGTCCTTCTTAGAAAGTAGGTAAGCCTCTCTCCTGTCTGTTCACAAATCGTCTCTTTGAAAGAAGGAGTTCCGGTAAGCAAGTCGGATGTCTCCTAGCCAGCCTGCCCTGTCTCTTATCAAATCGGCTGTTGAAAGATCGGTTGCTCGAGGGAAAGTAGGAATTATGGTTCTTGGTAGGATTCTATAATGCCTCCTTCTGCTTTTTAGACGAGGAAAGATATCCAATCAGTGCGGTCAGTCCAGTCAAGTCCTTGACTTCGGTCGTAGGTTGAAAGTCAAGAGGTAGTTGCTCTCCGTCATGCACGAATGAGGATATAGAATAGAACAAGGTAATCCGCAAGTATCGAAAGAGCAGGTAATTCCATCTAAGGATGAGAAAGAGCTCTGCTCTCTTAGGCAAGCAGTAGGGCTTTGGGGAGATCTCCAACCAAGGTAGCTCTTTCGGGTGCGGGGCTTGGTAGATCATAGAGAGAGTCTTTCCTTCCGAAGTAAACTCTTGCGATTGCACCCCTCATCTATTAGTCTTACAATTTATATCTTTCTCTTTCGGGCCGTACTCTCGGGCAATGAATGATTTGGAAGACAAAGGGCTTATAGGCCCCCCTTCAAAATAACAATAAGCAACATAGTAAGTTGGCGCTTCCTGCTCGCCAAAAGAAAGAAGAAGAGGAGGGAAGGTTTTCTGGATCGACACACGAAATTCAATAAGAGAAGAAAGACCAAGAGGACGGATTCGAACCAAGGCAAGTTGTACTTGCGAACTTTCGACTTTTCTCGATTCTCGAAAAGATAAAATTAAAATAGTGCTTCTCCTTTTTCGTGGTAGTTCCGAGTCATGGAGTTCTTTTCTAGTCCTAGGGGCAGGGTTAGGAGTTTCATGAGGGAGTTTACTTGCTTAACTTACTCTAAGTTAAGGATATGAAATAGCTCGACCAACGGCGGGAGAGGATATGAAATAAATAGCAGGATCTTAGGATTTGCCTCTTTATGTATTACATATCGAACGATAGACAACCCCAGTGGATGTCTGGCGTTATGGGGGTAAAAGCGCATTTCTCTATACTCAAGTAAGCATCTGAGGTAGTTTACTTGCTTACTTGTTAAGGATATGAAATAGCTCGACCAACGGGAGAGGTAGTTTACTTACTTGCAAAGGGAATTGGAAAGAGGTTTACCGATAAGTCACATCATGCTGGAGTAGGTCCGCACAGTCCGGTGGATCAAACCAGGGTAAAAAAGTCACTCTTGAATAAGAGGAAATTATATGGTTCATTACCAGCAATGCGCGTTCGAATCGCGCGAGTGACTCCCCTAAGAAATCAGACTTATGCTCGTTCAGCTCGAAATGACATTACATATATAAAGCATATTCTAACTCTAAGAGATCTGCCGGGTATCATAGTTGTCTTTTTAAATAAGAAAGTAAACTACCATACTCTAAAGAAGAAGAGTTCTACACTCTTTTCAAAAACTATAAATATCATAAGAGAAGAGAGTTGTTAGCGAAGATCTCTTTTTGTTTATTGCTCTGATCATCTTTTTTTTGTGTGGGATTTGCTTCGATAAGCCACCGCCCAATAGAGCTTAGCCATGTGTAGACCGAAAGGGTCTCGCGAAGCCGGTCACCGGTAGCCTAAGATCCTTTCTTACTATTGAAAAAAGATAGAACAGAGAGTACAGAGAATTCTTATTTTCATATCAAAGCAGCTCCTTTCTCTAAAGAGTAAGTAAGTAAACTACCTTCCCGTAATCGAACCTTCCACAGAAAGCAGCTCGCACTCGGTAATAAGACTAAAACATGGATTCTTTCCCATCGACTGTTCCTCTCACTTTGTTCGAGCTACTTCGTGCCTTTCACAGGGACCAGGACGAATAGGGAACGGGAGCTACTCTTTTCGTTTCGGGATTGGATTGGAGTAGGTAAGGGCAGCGGGACCAGCAAAGCAAGATGAACAATCAATCGGACCAAGCAAGCTATTAAGCCAACTAACAAAGCCACAAGCTATAGGCAGGGTCCTTTGTTAGCTCTACGATTAAGGAGTACGTCACCTTCCTTTAGTAAACTAACCTCGTCGTATGTTGAGTTTTACTATACTAAATGAGTTGGTGTATTTGACCTTTCTTTGCCTCTGGTTAAGCCCCTTCTTACGTAAGACATCGTAAGCTCCTCGCCTTCCTCCAGAAAGCAAGGACAGCAAGATATGAAGCAGGCCATGAAATAGGTATAATAGGAATTTAGAAAGCCTCCCCCGAAAGGAGGTTTCGAGGCTAATCCCTTCTCTTACTTTAGGGAGACCCCTATACGATTGACAAGAGATGCTTGCTCTTAAAGAAGCCTTCTAGTTAGTACTAGTCAAAGATTTCCGTAAGTTGCATCTTGAGTTTTAAGAATTGTGTCCCTTATTTCCTCCTTAGGAGCGAATCCCTTCTTGAAAGCCTTCTTCCCCTCTCTCCTCTCCCTATCGGTCGAGCATATTTTATAACCTCTCCTTATTTGGTTAATAAATTATTTCCTTGCCAATTGCCTTCAGTTTCGGATCACTCATTTACCTAGCATCGTCTATAAGTTCTAGGCCGGACCACTTTCCTCTTTTGATGGAACCATATATTACGACTAAGTTGCCATCTCCCTTCGTTGATAGCTGTGGTTAGATCATGACTTCTTTTTTTTGTGGGTGAAAAATGGTCTTATCTTTTTTTTAGATCTCCTATGACTAAGCTTCAAGTGAAACAGAAAAATCTTTGACTAGGCCTAAATGAAAGATAAATAAAGCAGTCTAATTGTCTTTTGGATATCTTTCTCTTCAAATGAGGGCGGCCACAGAGGATGTTCAGGCTAGAGGCTAATCTTCAAGATAATTGGAATGACGATACTCTCGGCCAACTTAAGTCTTCTAAAGAAAGGGAATGCGGAGGGAAAATTCTTTAGGAAAAAGCTCGGCTTAAGTTAATACAGATGGAGATCGTAAGACAGCCTTTTTCCATGCAACTTTGAAGGCTTTCCCCCAATCTGCAGTATATATGAAGGACCGTGTCGAAAGTTAGTTAGATGCACATTTTGAAATGGGACGCCTGTGACAGGAAAGGAATGAGCTTTAGATTATTTACTCCCTCTCGCCTGACACAGTTTGACACGCGGTGATAGCCGAGTGGCCCTTTATCTATATAGTGGTATAAATAATAGAAGGAGAATAGGCAGGCGGGAAAAGCAAGCGTCTGATCAGATCAATCAAGAGATAGGGGTTCGTTCGGCCAAACATCTTTTTCCTAAGCTAGGACGGAGCTGGCGAGTGAGGATTGGCTGAGGGGCCCTTGGGCCTAAGGGAATAGATTGTAGCAGGGTACAAATAAGCCAGTAAAAAAAAGACAGGTAGAAGGCAGTTAAAGAGGAGTAGGCAGAGGACGACGAAGCTGGTGGGGTACGTAAACGAGGACAGATCACATGCTTTTGTACAGGTCAGCTTTGAGCTGTCGACTAAGGATTGCTCCAGCTCTTAATAAAGGGGCTTTGAACTGTCAGCCTTATTAGACGACTATCACGGGGAGTACTCTCTGATGCACTATTATTGGCGCCTATTCCTTAGGGAGTGACCGGAATTAAGCCGCGTAGCCCGCGTGGGACTATTCGCTGGGGTCGGCCTTTCGTACTCAAATCGGTAGGGGGAAAGGACAATTATTCAGAGCACTAAAATATAGCAGGTTCAATATTAATGAAAAGCCAGGGCTAAAATGATTTAATGAAGGCTATAATCTGACTTAGAAAGAAATAATAAAGGCTTAAAGAATGGCCTCCTTCGCCTATAAATTAGAAAATGCAGCCGTAGCAAAGGGGGACATTGAAGTAAGCAAGAAAAAGCTTTGACTAGCTATGGATCCTGCTCTAAGACTCTCGCTTATTCCACAAGAAATATCTCAAGCGGAAGAGGAAAAGCTCGAATGTGAGCAATTGCTTGGTCTGTTCTGGGAGCATCTGCCTGCTATCAATCCGGAGGCCATAGCACAAGTTATGCAACAGATTCGGGACCAGATTCGCGGTCTCGAAGACCGGAAGAGGGCGCTCCTCGAAGAACAGCGTCAGCTCATTCTTCAGGGAGCAAGTGGTCACCTGGGAGAATAGAAGAGTCCACTCTTTCGTCAAGATTTAAATAAGTAGTCTGTCGACGCAAAGTAATCTGTTTTGGCTTTCTTTGTACTTCTTTGGTGGAGATTTCTAAGTCTCTTTGTTGTCGTGGAGGTGGTCTGACCCTTATCTTATGTGTTTTTAAATTCAAGAATTTCTGTCAGTCTTTAATCTAAGCCATGGTCTGAAGTCTAGCCCGAATAATGCTGTCATGTGTCTCTCACTTTCTTTTTTCATTTCTGATGTCGAGTCGGCCCTTGAGGCCAAAGAGTCTGTAATCAAGTTGTGGTTTGCAATGAAATAAAAGATAGATTTGCTACATATAAGCGGGAGGATTTTTTTAAGAATAATGATCCCACTCAAACAAATAGCGGACCTTTCTATACGAAATTCAAGCTCAAAGAGTAACCGGGAACAAGAATCTTCACTCTTTCGACTCACTTAGAATTATATAGATAATGATCTTTCATCGAGCACTTCTTATTTCTTTCCTTACTTTCGTCCCTCAGTTTGGTTGCCAGTTCTTAGTGACTTTAAGCAATAGGTCAGGCCGTCACCCGCGTCACAGGAGCTATGGACGCCCTTTGATCCCTTATGGCCGAGATCAATATGCCTGCCATCTACTAAGAAATTCTTTCTTTCCCTACCGAAGACTAGTCAAAATAAGACCAATGAGTAGCTACAGCCTACTGTAAAAGCTACCCGCGACTTATTGCTGTTATGTCTCTTATTAGCCTATTGATGATTGGTAGTCGGACTCGCTCTCGAAAGATGAGTTGCTCGCTTTCTAGCTCAGTCGGAGATGATATTACATGTCTTTATGGATGGAAGGATAGAGAGGAGCCCTGATAAGGGCATAGTCTAGAGTTAAGGCGTGAACGACTCTTTGTGCGATTTCTTGATAAAAGCTCTTCTTGCATACCTGCTTTCGGATGTGATTGATTTGGTTACATTTTCTCCTGACCGTCACGGAAGATCTAAGCCCCGGGAACAGAAGTAGAAAAACATCAATAGATTTAAAGTCTTCTCGCTCTCTCCCAACGAGGAAGTTCAAGTAATCGTAGCAGTCTTCCTTTTCCCTAAAACAGGTCAACCGGATCGACCGGCAGGTATCACAGCTGGTCTAAAAGGCAGGACAGGTAGGCTTTACTTTATAGATTCTTTGGACCTAAGGTGATTCCTCTAGACTTATTCCAGTTCTGCGCCTCTGAGTTTGGTAGGGAATTGAGTCTTGTTATGAAAGTTCACCAAGAAATAGATAAGTCCTAGGGAGGATATCCCCTCTAAAAAATAGTAGAAAGGGCCTAGGGAATAAGGAAGGAGTCTTTAATTCGTTCATCGTAGTTTTCAGCTAGCTTTAGCGCGGTTCCCATGGTTAGTGGATTTATTGCTTAGGGCTCTTTGCCATATCCTTTCCTTCCGCTTCTGGCTTTCTACTTAACTTAATAGATTTATTTGCCCATCTCCCCTAATTTCACCTTCGTATGCCAATGTTCAGTCAATCGGAGCTCCTTTTCCTTTTCTCAGTGAGTCTTCGTCCTCTTAGCTCTTAGCTTTCGCTGCGATCCCTTCTTTAGGTCTTGGCAAAGCCTTTGCCGCTGATCGGAATCTTTTAAATCTTTAGCGGATTCTTCCTCAACGTAGGCAGCAAAAGAAGTTTTAGTGGATTAGCCTCTAAAACTTTTTCCATCTTTTTTCTCCATTAGCTCCATGCTGTCTGGTGGTCTCATTCTGTCTCTCTGAATAGGTTAAGCCAATAGGATAGCACAAGCTCATCTTTCCTAAAGACGGCTTTGAAGTGGCAGACTGAAGAGATGACGCTTTTTCGTACGGTTATTGCTTTCTTTTTAGGTGGGAATGAATCATAGAATGAAAGAAATTTCCAATCCTCAATGGAAGAAAGGGCGGAGAGAGCTGCCGAATGCTTATTAAATAAGGCTCTGTTTAGACGGGCCTCAATGCCTCCTTCCTTTTCCTCTTACCTTACTGAAATTGATTCCTCCTTTTGTAATTGCTCTTTCTGGGCAGGGGAACTTCAAGGCAAGCAGCTTCACTCAAAGATCAACGCAAATAACGAAAGGAGGACAACGATGAGAATTCAACGACAAAAGAGAGGGTATAAGGCACGTATTAAGAAGTAAGTCATTCAAGCTAGACGAAGCCACTGCTTGATCCGAGATCTGTAAATGGGAGAACTATAGAATCGCAGGAAAGCGACACAATGTTCGGAATAGACCCGGATCATCTTTCTTAGCTGGAAGAGATGAACATCTTAGGAAAGGAAATAGCACTTCTACCATCAACCTAAGTGATCTTTGGCCAACTATGGATTCGTCCAAGCCGGTCTTTTTTTACTCAAGTAGATTTCTGGGCGGAACTCCGATTGAAAGATCAACAATTGGATCCATTAAGGCTAAACCATTGGCACGCAGATGCATAAATCAGTCTTTGATGTCAAGATGACCATCCCGGGAAAGAGAGAGAGTTATTGAGAACGCTAGGCCAGCTTTCCTTATCAGTCTAATTTACTACTTCTGCTGAGCCAAACAAGACTTTGGGGACCGACGTGGGTGATTATACATTAAGTAAGTTTCGAGTGCAAAAAAGGGGTTGGGCTTTCTTCTTTGCTTTCTCTAGTTGCGGTATTGCAGCTGGCAGCTTTGTTCAAAGGATGAAGCCTTTAGTGGGGCTAAGCTGTGGAAGAAGAGAGTTAAGAAGTCTCCTTTTTGGTGCTCTTGCAAAAGAAAGATAGGGTCTTTTGGGACAAGAAAGACGCTTAATAGTAAAGTAGGGCAAGGAAAAGGACTGAGAGAAAGTGAGCTCCTTCTCTTTTCAACCCGTGCACCCGCGGGGGCTTGGCTAAGTACTCAAGAAGAGATTAGCCCTTCTGTGTCGAAGATCGATCTCCCCCATCATATGCCATACGAAAATCTTACTATATATAAAATTATTCATTGATCAAGTCAAGTTAAGATGAGAGTGAGGAAGAAAGTAAGACCCTTGGCCAGGAGTTTGAATCTGCTCACAACCAATCCCGGGAGGAGGCGGGCTATTGCCTCTGACTGTGAATTGAGGTTCTTTCTCTCCTTATATATGCGAGCAACTTCACGAGCAGATTGCGAGAGTGTAATGGCTGGGATGGATGATTTTTGCTTACAGCCGCATTCGCAGCATATAATATACGAAATATAGAAGAAATTCTAAGGTGTGGACCCTTGTCTCGACTTGCTTGATTAGTGATAGGTATGACCTAAAAGGGAGCTCTAATTTCCGGGGAAGGGGAAATGCCTTCTTTACCCTCTTCTTTCATTCCATTATTCATCATAGCCTATTCCCTTGATTAAGGCCTTTGAGGCAACTTCCTTCCTTGACTGTCTTTATGTGATTTGAGCAAGCCAAGCCGGTAACGGAGAGAAAGGTGATAGGTAGATCCATGACGATCTCTCGACCTAAACGGTAGCTTTCCAGACGAAAGTAGTCTCGAATGGGTAACCACATTCATAGCGGGTACCGAGAATCCATCTTTTTTACTTCTTTCCGAGACTACCGATTGAAGCATCTCTAGTCGATCGACGAGCTGCCCACCTTTCATAGCGAAAGGCTAGCCTTCACAATTTCGAATCTTTCCCCATTCCTATTATCCTGGCGATCTCCACATCCTTTCATCGGGCTTAGCTTTGACACGTGCCCCCTTGGTTTTAGGAATTTCGGTAGGTGACATCCACACATGGTTCAGCCCCTGTGTCCGCGTTCACGAAAGGCACCCCTCTCTTTCAAGAGGATTCGCGGCATGTCAAGCCCTGGTAAGGTTCTTCGCTTTGCATCGAATTAAACCACATGCTCCACCGCACGAGCCAGACCAAGTACGGGCTTTATCCCTTGAGTGGACAGGCGATTGGTTTGGGAACCGGGCACAGTGAGAAGCTGCTCTTTCTCTGTTCAGCTGTCCCTAACACAGACGACCAAGCGAACCATCTCACACCGAACTGTATAACCTAAATCTGAGCTACCTGGATCGGTCCAGTCAGCCGGTAGTGGAATCAGAGTACCATTGATTGAACTGAACGTACTTAGCTTGAGAAAGACCTTCTTTGTCGCCTACCTATAGCTATATAAGTGTGTTAGAAGTCCTAACCTATAGCAAGAGTAGTGCTAAGCGAATACCTGCATTGATTCACTTCAGCAGGCAGGCTTGCCTCCTGATGACATGACTGAAGCAAGTTCATCGTGGGGCTTCGTTCTATCATAGCAGTGCACCATACTATACTATACTTACCAAACTATATTCTAAAGAAAGTTTTCTGGCAACATAGTCTGTTTTGAGCGCCCATAGATGGCGAACCTCTTGAACAGCTTCCAATTAATGATTTAGAGGTCACCCTGGCTAGCCCGGATCCGTCTCAGACGCTTACGAACAAGGCAAGGAACGAAGTAGCTCGACCGATAGGGAGAGGAACGAAGCTCACTCTGCGGCTAAACCCGAAGCAGAAGCAGTGTAGCAAGACCTTCTATCCCTCCATTGAGGTCTCTTCATTTACCCGTTGTTTGTCGTACCCGAGTAGACAAGTGTCTGTCTGCCATTTCACAAAGGTTTATTATGAGCCCGAAAAGCGGGCGAAGGAACTCTGCCCTCTCGTCACGCTTGCCGACAACCCGCTTTCTATCCACTGAGTGCTCAGGGGATGAAGAGGAAAGCGTATCAGATCAAGCCTTCGAAGCAGCCCATTCCGTCGATGTAGTACAATCAGTTCTTTCTGTCGAGTTCCATTCCTTGATGAAACGGGAAAGAAGGATCCACCTTATTCACAACAACAGCACTTCTTCCACGAATAGGTGTTCGCCATGGGGAAGTAAAATATGAAGAAGTCATTGAATCAAATCAGCACGAGGATATGACGAACGGCTGGAAGACTTGTGGTGGTCCCTAAGAAGCCCCTACGATGACTCATCGAATTTCCTAGCCGGGGAGAATGCTATCAGAAAGCAAGCCAATGAGCTAATGATGACTAGCCTTTGATTGAAGGCCGGGCCAAGGCAAGGAATGCGAGAACAAGGGAGGTCCCACTTTTACTGTATTCAAAAGCAAGCTAAGATTCATCAGAAAAGTCAGTAGCTGTCGGAGTAGAGGCAGCAGTTGCGGGTTCCGGTGCTAAAAATCAATAGGACCGTCTGGGGTTGGCGGAGTTGGTAGGAAGCACGGTTGGCGAGAAGCTGGTACTGCTTTCTCGCTTTTTCTATTTCTATATAGAATAGGAAGATCAAAAAAAGAAGTTTCTGTGATTACTCTTTAAAGCTTAGCTTAGTAGGTAAGGCGCTGCTTATTGAAGGGGATGTTCTGGTCGAGGTCGAACAGTCAGAATGCATGAATGCAAAGAAAAAAAAAATGAGCCTTGCTTGCTGAATCGACATGTAAAGGTAAAGAAAGGCCCCGGGCCGGGATTTCTTCAAAGGACAGTACGACAGCTCCAAAAGACTCGCGCTTACCTGCTGACAACCAATCCTTTTCCAGTAACCATTCAGAGTGGGAGCTCGGATCTATGGTCAAAGGAGGGAGTCTATTAGCAGAGCTTCGATAATCGGGTTCTTGCCTTTCGTTTTGACTCGAGCATTTTATCTCCCTCTCCCTACTTCCAACCATGAAAGCATTCGAGCCGTAGCTCGTTACACAGTCTCCTCCGAGTACAGACACGTTGACTTACAACTTTGAAAGATCAAAGACCTTTACCTTTTCGAAGGGCAATGGGAAGAGACAAGCCTAAAACAGAGGTAGTCGTCGATACGATAGGTTGATTAACGCTTACCAGTCATTATAGGCATAAAGCCTAATCTTAATTTTGAAGACAATACCAATAGAGGAGGTTGGTAATGATGATTTTGTCCGCACAATCAGAGACTTGATTAGTAGTAATCATGACAAGAGTAGCTAACAGGTGCGTGATGACAACATCGAAGGTGCGAAACTCGAGCAAAGCGAGAGGAGCGAAGGAGTCCTCCGGTAAGGATTGAACCGAGTGATTGGGAAGGTTGTCATACCGTTGAAAGAGGGTGAAACTTCAAAGTAAAGTCATACTAATTTTGATACTACAATAGGAGATTGTCCAGACTCATTCGCAATATAGGATGACCATGGAAGTCTAAAATTTTCTATTTAATTATGCGCAGGGTCAAAGGGAAGAGTGTTAACCTGCCCTTCGCCGCCTACAAGCGATTGGTTAAGTCTTCGTTCTTAAATGATTTAGAAAAAGGGTAGGTTCTTAAGACAAAGTAGGTTCGGTTAGATTCTTTTGGTAATAATCAGAATAAGGGTATTTTGAATTGGAAGGGGCAGGCACTGTAATCTCTTTTTAACCCCGTGGGAAACCAACACAAGTCAACCAGCGGGAAAGGAAAAGCTATCAATCGCAATAGGCGCGGGAGAGGAGGGCTTTTAGGGTAAGCCGGCTTTGCTTCCTTCAGGTCTGGTTGCAAGCTTGGGAGTGGGATTTCTAAGGAACTACATTTAATTGATTTGCTTATCGAAACTATGTTTTTGAACTAAACCTGCATATGTATGTTATGCTTGCCCTAAGGCAATTAGAGTAGGTACCCCAATGTATGGCTAGAAATATCGTAACAGAAGTGCATTGTTGCCCGCGTTCACCCTATTTCATTTGAAAAGAAATCTACTTTCCTCACCCTTTCTGGGAGAGCGAAAACTTTCCTCGATCGGACGCCCTCCCTATCTATATAGTAAGGGGCCCTTTCTTGCTAGTTTTCCCAATTTTCTCTGGTGGAAGGAAAAGTTATTATCCAAAGCCAGCGGGAAATTACCAGCTATTTATAGACGGTGGAAGAGCCAGGGGATAGGCCGATGGGAGAAGGGAAAGGCTTTTGTTTTCACTCGACTGTTTGGAAAAGGTGTTGCGGCTGGAAGAAGAGATTCTCCAACCTTAGCTCCGAATGCGCTTTTAGCGTCTTGCACGGCTTTCTGGAATGAGCTGAGGCATAGGACTTTGAGGTCAACGATTAGATATCTCCTTCTTGTCGTTCGTTCTAAGCCTACCTCACTTGTCGTTCGCCTGCTACTTGGCGTTAGTGGAATTGTCGTTCTAAGCCGTTGAACCAAAGTTGGCCAAGAAGGTTTTGAAAAAAGAAATAGGAGGCGAAGGTTGGTTTAGGCTAAGATGGAGGAAGTGGCAATCCGTCTTCTCAGCAAGTCTTAGCTATTCCCATAAGTCTTCGACTCCCTCCAGATCGTTTGATTTGGCATTTTGAGCAACATGGGCATTACACGGCATACAAGCTGGCCTTATAATGCTAAGGTAGGAATGGAACGAGAATCAGAGGCTGTCTGCCGTAGGGATAGGATAGAGTTCCATACTTTCCACGAAGAAAAGCCGATAGCCACTCGCTCTTTAGGGTCATTACAGTTGCTTCCCGCCACCAACACTTACACACAGCTTCAAATAGAGCGCTGTGTGTAAGTGTCCAGAGCGTTTTACTAACCTAATGATCTCCTGCGCAAGCAGATGAGCTCCGATACAATGTTCTTTAGTTAGACCATCCGTGACCAGTAGGATTACTTTATTAAAGCGTCAAAGGCTGTCTTTCGGTCGTCTACGTTAACTGATAGCTGCTTGTTTTGTTCTATTACCTAGGGCCTTCTTCATTCGCTTGGAATAGCATCTGGATCTGTGACAAAGAGAATGACGGCTAAACCTCCTTGATTCCTTGAAGAAGGTATCAGTCTATCCTATTGAGACTACCGGGAAGAAGAGTCGAGTGTTCAAGTCTGATCCTCTTGTATTGAATACAGTCCCCCTCAAGGGGGAATAAGCACTTTCGGAACCTAGAAAAAAAGGAAGCGCCGTTAAAGAAAGCCAACACTTAGATAGGCAGCGATAGAGGGGGGAGGGAGGGAATAAAATAGAGCATGGCTCCGTCGTTATCCGGGCGCTAAATAATACTGCATACCAACAGCAAACGATTCCAGTGATAGCAGAGATCTGGGACATCTTCACCAGAAATTCCTTCATTGCTAAATTGGTAAACAGCTTACCTGCGACAATAAGAGCTGATATGCGACATCCCTTCTAGTAGTAGGCGAGGCTCGATGTAATTGAGCACGAGCAGAGTTCACCGTCTTGAATAGGAGCAGCTTTAGGGAGCGCGTAAATCATTCATTCTTAGGGGGTAAGCCCTTCCACTTACGCCGTTCCCTTACGCATTACCTATTTCCTGTCCTAAAACAAAAGAAAATATCTGTTGGCGGAAGATTCAAACATTCGCTGAACACAAACACAATCTCGATGAGAATCAGTACACGGAAGTCGATCAATCCACGAAGGTATGACACTTCTACACCCTCTGCTAGCTGTTTTCTTCTCTTAAGAGATTTTCGAAAACAAGGGTTCAATGTACATAGACGATCAAGTTACCATAGACAACTCAAATGGATTGGTTGAGTCCATTGACTTAACCCAACCGGTAGTTAAACCCAAGAGAGAGGCCTTATCCCACAAGCAGACGGAATCTAAATCCCAGAAGCTACGCAGGAACGGTAAATCCTAATTACTGAGGTAGTTTAGTGGCTAAATCGACCAATATGGAAGTCAAGCCTACCTTTTTGTATAACCTAGCTGAAGGAGTCCTAAAGCTTATGACGGAAGTCAGAAAAAACCTAAAAGTATAAACCTCAAGCAGGGAAATGGGAAAGAATTAGGTTGGAGGTAAGCGAATACCCTAGGCCATGTCATCCAAGAAGGCCTGGCCCTCGACGTGCATCATTTTGATGAAATCACTAAGTCTGGTAGACTTCTGCACATGAAACATGAAAGGCGTAATGATTCAAGATATATTCTGTCAGCTGCTGAAAAGAAAGAGGCTACAGAGGCCGGTCTAAGGTACCTGAACCAAACGACCGCAGGACATAACGGAACAAGTCTGGCCAACAAGCAACAAGCATAGGAGTGTGCTCAAGTGTAAGCGAGCGCTGTGTTCTATAAAAGAAAGAGAATAGTTACTGGACATTCTTTAATCAAATGCGGATTTTGCCTAAAACCCGAAAGGTAAGAAGCCCTGGGATTAATTCCCGTAGAATTTGAAGGGGAACTTCTTCCGTAGAGGATACAAGTGATGCCGCCGCCCTATGTATGTTGCTCCTCATCGCATCGGATTGGTACCGCAGGATAATCTCGAATTGAATGTTGGTCTCCGATTCTCCTTATTCATTTCATGCTGAAATTGTCTCCAAAAAAGGAGATACAATCTAGAAGTTACCACAGCTTGAGGTAAATTTTAGATTTTTTTTTAATCATTCCCTTCAATTGAATTGAAAAAGCTTAACGCCCTATCCTGCCCTAGGGCGAAATGTTGTGATACTTTTTCGACCCATATGCAGGATATAAAAGAATACACCTAGAGATACTTAGAATTAACAGTGAATCCAAGACAACAACAGAAAGGTTTAAATCGCTTCGTTTTCTATTTTGTATTTAAGATCTTGTATATCTAGTTAAGTATGTATCTATAAAAAATATAGAATAGAACTAGAATCTTTGTATTCGGCTCAATCCTTTTAGTAAAAGATTGGGCCGAGTTTAATTGCAATTCATTCAATTAAGGGAACAAATATCAATTAGTAGATTACAAGGTATCCATTGCAGCGTATTCAAATTTAATTTCCTTCCATACTTCACAAGCAGCAGCCAATTCAGGACTCCATTTGCTAGCCTCACGAATAATTTCATTACCCTCACGAGCAAGATCACGTCCCTCATTACGAGCTTGTACACATGCTTCTAGAGCTACTCGAT